CTGCAGAAAAGAAGTTAGAGCAAGGCAAAACCTGTCAGCCTGAATTTTCCCTAAACATTAGAACAATCTCAGCAAGGAAACAAGGTAATAGCATCCACTGAACAAAGTTAATAAAACACCATTGTACTAAAGGTAACATGAACAGTCTGTCAGCGCTAGGCAGCAAAGCAGCACACCGATGCACACCAATAACCGGTGTGCCTATGAAACACTTCGGGGCATAGGCACTGCTTCTGTTTCCCAAAAAATTTCAATAATTCTTCTTGAAGACCAATGGGAGAAGGTGAAATACCAGCTGCAGCAGGGAGCAGAACTTTTCCAATGCTTACAGTGATTTACCTAAGTAGGATATACACCTCCTTGGGACTTCTCACACAATGAAGGCAATCCTTGCTAAAAGCAACACTGACATCTTGCCATCCATGCTATGGGCTGCTCTCCTGTTCACCCATAATCGTACTGTTCCATCAGCTTTAGCTATTGCCCTCTCTCCTCATCACCTTACATTCCCAAGTTCTTGAGCAACTGCACAAAGTCCTTCATTTACAAAGAAAAATGGACTTTTCAGGATAGCAAAGGGTCACTTTCCTTAGTGAGTACAACTGAAAATGCTCACATAGTACTAAGTACTAAAATGAAACTAAACAAAACAAAAAACCCAACTCCAAACCTGACCAATAAGGAGCACATGCATCCTGAAGGCCTGGTGAACCCTAGTGCTGTACTGGGATGCAGCTGAGCATTATAGGATGGCAGGTACCTGAAGTGATGTAACATGTCCTTTCAGACAGCAGCAGTCTCCCAAACCCCAGTGCACACAAAGGGAAAGCAGTGCATAGTGGATGCACAACTGCAGGCACAGCCTGTAAAGCTGCTCTTTAGAGCAGGGAAACATCAAGCCTGAAGGCAGCAAATACCACAGTGTGATATAAAGCTACAGCTCAACAGGGAAAAAAGAGTATTGCTGGAACTGGGGAGTTGTGTTTGGACTGGAGTGGGGTGAACAGCGGAGGTGAAGCATGCTTTTCCTCTATACCACTGCTGTTGGCTTTGGTTTGGGGTCATTTTTTATGGTTTTCTGTTGAATATTTCACCCAAAGGAGAAGAAAATGCTCTATTCACAGCAAAGAACATTTCAGTAATTTCACCTACTTTTCTTCAGCATTTAAGTTAAATACAGCCCTGCTTTTCATGATCTCCAGTATTATATGCAGTAAATGTGACAGTTCTGCTTGCACACAAAGAGCCAGCACTGCAAGACTACTCACTGAAAAAGCATGCTGCGAGCTACACGAACTATATTTTAAGGCACAGAGAAGTTAACTGCTCTCCAGCACAAAGCCACTGCTTAACAGAGAGGCCCTTTTACCATTCAAATGGCATTAAAGGAGTTAAATCCAATATACTGGTAACTCTGCGACAGAAAATTAAATGTCCATCCTGAAATTTAAAAACTCCACTTAACCCCAGACAGATTCCAATTAATATTAACTACTTTCAGGACAAGTTCAGCTCAATACTAACATTTGGTGTAGACCCTAATAAAATACTACACACTCCAACATTTCCTTTTCGATAGCTAATAAGTATGTAAAACTGTTCTTCATTAAATTTAAATGGACTCATTAATAAAATATTGAGGATGTGCTACTTTAAGACATCAGGGAAAGAAAAAAGTATAAATTGGCGATAACGTTATTTCTATTTTTAAAACACATCCCACAGAGGCACCCAAGATAGATGAGAAGTGCTAAGCTCATCCCACAAGCTTATTTATTTATTTAATGCTTCTTATGTGCTATTTTTAACCACAGAAGACAGCAAAAGGCATCCATTAGAAAAATTACATTGGTTAGAGCCTTCCTCACACAGGTTAGGTAAGTGAGAAACCTGGCTGAACACAGTGTTACGATGAGATGTGTTTTTTTCCTCCCTTTCCTATAGGTTTCTGGAATAAAAAAGCAATTTTATTTTTGCAGCATCAGCTAGGCCAGAATCTGTATCTGCAAACCTCTGTCAATCCTTACTCATTTCCCTCACCCCCTCTTCCCACTCCTTTGCTTCCCGCATGGTTTAATTTTGTAAGTAATACATGGCTTGAATGCATAGAAATGTGCTTACCACACAGGGACAGTTAAAATGTAGATGTATGGGTTTGGTTTGGGTTTTTTAAGCTTCAGTTCTGCACAAAGGAAATAAATGAGAGGAAATGCCATACTCTCATAGTATTGCATCATTTTGCAGAAGACTTTTTCCTCTGGGAGAGGAAAAAATTAGTTTAAGATCTTTCAATTTTTTTGCAGTAAAGTTAAAGGAATTTATCTTTGTTGACGTTGGTTTTCCTTAGAGATCAAGATTCTTTGGTGAGCTAAGAAATCAAAGGAAGAATGTGTCCCATCCTTATCTGTCCCACCACAAATACAAATTTTCATGTACAAAAGTGCCACAGCTACACTGCCAAATTATTTACTTACAAGAAAGAACCTCTTGACTTAATTCCTCCATGCCATCTTCCTAAATGGTTGCTTTCTTTGGGGAAATGCAGAGTATTTTCATGCACAACCTGAGCAGCAGATTTTCCTTTATCCTCCCATTTGCAGAACCAAAGCCTAAACTCCACAGAGGCACTCCAGCACTTCTGAGCTATTTCTGCCAGGGTTTCTGGTGGAGCAGAAGACAAAATTGCTCGTAGACATTTAGGTGCTATTTCAGGAGCCTCTGCAAGCATTCTGATTCTCATCCTAACTTTGCTACAGAAAACGCAGCCCAACTTCCATGTGTGTTTGCTGCCTGGCCAGGTAAACAGCTACAGACGATAAAAAGGGTACAAAAAATGAATTTCAGATGTGACACAGGTCCCCTGTAATGCTCCAGGTCCCCACAGAGAGCCAAGGGCAGGGTGGGAGGACCAATCATGCTGAGCGGGGGGCATGGCACTGCTCAGAGTTACATGGGTCAATCTAGACTGAGGTGTAAGTCAGGTAGCACAGGACTGGACAGTTAATGCATGTGCAGCAGCTGGATTTCTTAACATCTATTTTCCCTTCTTTTTAAATTTTCCATAAAGTGAGTTTTTTGTAAAAAGAAACCACAGAGGTTTTTGGTGTCACTCAGAACAAGGACAGTTTGTTTCTTCTACCTGCCTGGAGATAAGCTTAGTTTGCTGAGAACAGGCATTACTGAACCCCATAAATGGAAGGCTTTGATTCATATAATCTGTTCATACATGGCACTAACAATGCTTGATGACTAAGAAATTCTTGAATTTCTAAAAGAAGTAGCTTTCTCCATAGTGGGAAGGTCACATTACACAGAAAACTATGCAAGCAGCACACGACAAGTGTCACCAGTGGAAAGCTGAAGACAAGGCAAGTAACGCAATTTTCAGGGTACAATAATCACTACTAAACTCGAGATCCTGGATAGATATTCCAAGTATTCTCTGTATTTGGAATCCTGCCTCAGGCCAGGCGTGGCTTGGCCAACAGAGCCTCTGATACAAGTTTGATTCCTGACTTACTTCTGAAATATTCTGAATATTCTGCATGTGGGCCATAGAAAGAAGGCTGCAGTCTGCCAGCAGTAGGCAGGACCCCAAGCAAATTGCCTGCTGAAAAAACAAATTTAAGACTTCACATACTTCTTTCCCCTTAAGTACTACATTCAATTACATTAAAAGGCTAATTTCCAGGGCACGGCATCCATCCTACATTCCTCAGGCTGCCCAAAGAGAAGAAATGCGAGTTATCTGCCCAGTTTCAGATTTTTGCTTGAAGCCAGAAACTGCAGGGACTTAAAGCCCGAAACACACTTACAAATAAGCAGTTATTCAAGAAACTAAGAAACATTATTTTTAAAATTTGGGAGTGTTGTCCTACATCCTCCCTTCTTGTGAGGAAGACAGAAACACAAGTGACTCCATCTCAGAAACCAAAGTCAGACTGGGGCAGACAAACTTCCCGGCAGGCTTAAACTGTTTAAACTTTCCTACTTGAATAAAATCCTCCACAACTACCAGTTGTTCTGCCACTCGAACGAGCACAAGCAGAGACCTGACATGTCAAACAACTTCTCTGCAACACTTGATGCCATAAGTTTAACATTTTGTTTGGAAGTGCTGTTCATACGTACACTTGTGCAACGTCTACACTGAATACGTAACACCACCAAAATAGCTCATTACCAGGTCTTGCCCAATTCCATAACCACATTAACTTATAGCAGGGACATTATTTTTCTCCCTCCAATGGATTTGGCCTAGAATGTGTACGGACTTCCAACAGGACTGTGAAAGAGGAGATCTGAGATCTCCTTGGCATTGGCACGTTCTGAAAATAATTGACAAACTCCTCTTTAGATTTACAGCTACTACAGAAACAATTTCCATATGCGTAACTGCCCTTGACAAAAACTCCCTCACTATCAGTCAAACCAGCAAAACACAAGCCTCCTTGAAAACAAACAGCGATCTGGAGGATCACAATAGGTTGCCCATGAATTATGGAAAAGCCAGGTTGTGTTGCAGCGCTGGAAGTTTCCACCTCTCAGTGACATTTCAGACATCCTGACTGTTTAACAGGAGTGGGGAAAAGAACATGTTAAGCCACAGCTGCCAGCAATATTTCACACTTTAGTATGGGAAAAGACACACAGATCCCCAGATCCATCCCTTTCAAAATAAATACATTGTCAACTGTGACTTCTTCAGGAAACTGACATCCTAAACACCACCAGTAAAAAAGAAACAAATAGGCAATGTGAGTAGTCAATCTCATGAAGACTAGTTACCACAGAAAGCAAGGTACAGGATCTTCCAAATCATCCTTTTTTTGCTTCCCAGGAGACTCTAGTCAGCACATACAGAATGCCTTTTAAACATGTCAGGAACAAGTTCATTATCTGATTGCACACGTGTCTCATTGATTTTCAGGTTAAAATCACATCTGCCTTAACCTACTGTTACACTTCGCATAAGCCACATTCATCTTAGATGAACCTACCATGTGGTAGTGTTATGTTTGCACCATCAATGATTGCTTGTGCCAGTTCATGATCATTGCTCTCAAAAGCATGTGCAGCAGCCTTGAGGGCATCCCAAATCTCCTTGCGACCTTCGAAAGCTGGTGCTGTGTCCCAGAACTCGTCTCTCTTGCTGCGCAACTGTCCATCTGTCATGGGGTAATCACTCTTCCATTTTGGTTTCTCTTTTTTCAAGGGCTGATTACGACCAAGAGCAACTGTGGAGGAGAGAAAGAGGAAGGGGAATTAAAAAAAGGCAATAGCACAAAATCACTGAAGTGCCCCTTGGTTATTCTCTTTAGGATCTACTGAGCTGAAGTTCGCTTTTGGGCAATCTTGATCCTTTTTTTTCCATCCTCTTCAAGGCATTGCCTCCCTTCCTCTGGGCTCCAAGTTGATTTGACCTCTTTGAGAAACTGAGGGGCTACCTCCTCCTGCTTGCTTATTTCACCTTCACCCCTGAGCACCCCACAGCTTCTCCCCAAGCTCCTCATCCCTCCAGCTGTGCCCTGTATGCCTGGCTCGGAGACTCACACCCAACACAGACATTTGCCAAAGGCTGTAGCCAAAGCAGTGGTACACTGAGACACCCGTTATCCCAACACCAGCATGCAGCGAGACCACACTGCATCTGGATCTCTGCTCTATGCTGCCAGCAACACTCTCTGCTCAATAAATGAGATACTCTGTTAATACAAGAATTTCAAGAGGCTAAAGAATTTTTTCATCATCTCCTTTTTTAATTAACAGTTTAATTGACAGTTTTTTAATTAAAAGATTTAACTCAGAGTAAGTATATGCAGAAAGGCAAATAAGATGCACAAAGGCTGGAACTGTCACAGAGAAAAATCTCTAAAGAATAGCCCAGGAATCCATCAAGCTTTAAAAAGTGGTTACCTCATTCACAATAAACGCAAAAGCATTTGTTTCATTTTAACTACAGCTGGTTTTGTGTAATAGCCAGCAGTAAAGATAATCACATAATGTTGGTGGATTAAAACTACTTGCTCACTTTAAATTACAGCCTTGCTACGACTGTGTTAAATCCTTCTCTTCGATTTGCGTAAGGGGTTATTTCAACTTCAGTTGAAAGGAAAAGGAGAAAGAAGGGAGCAAACTTATGTGCACACCATGTAGAATTTCTCTTTGCAAGAGTTAAAACCCCATTTCCTTCAGCTCCCTCCTGGCAGTGGGAGAAGTGATTGCCAAAATTGGGCCTGCAAGGACAGTACAGGGAGAGAGCAGCAACAACCCACGGAAACAGTTCTCACCCTGAAAAACCTTGAACACGTAGTTTAAATGTCACCAGAGGACATGAAGCGTCCTTCAACAGTTAAACTAAATTCAAGTGTGTTTGCAGCTGAAAATAAGCAGCGTCTCCATGGTCACAGAAACTGGATGATGAGTACTGAATGCTCCCGAAAGTCAGGTAAGCTACACAGGACTGAAGTCAATTAAGGACTGTATGATGCTAGAGAGCCATCCCCTCCTATGCTCTCTGTGAAGAGCCCCTCCTGTCCCAAGAAAGCAGAGGTACCCCAGCTGCCATCAGGCCAGGGAAGCATGAAGAGATGCAGTCTGTCACCCACATCCATGTTATTAAGGCCAAAATATCTCTTACAAGAATGACACCACAGCTGCTGCAATATCGAAGCCTGTGGAGCAAAGCTGCTGCTTATCGGGTGCTCCTGGCTGGTCTGCAAGGACGAGAGAGCACCAGGTCAAACACAAGGGCTTACACTTAACACTGTATTCCATGTACATCCTTTGAGATAGTAAAAAACATTTCCTTTCTCCAGATCCTCTTATTTTTCTGGCAGGAAGTCAACAATAACTGTCAGACTTGCATCTCTCCCCAGTCTTACTCCAGCATTCATTTTTCAATGGAAGAACAGTGTAATGTTTAAATATTCTTCATAGTTCTTAATCTAGACTTAAACTGTATCTCTATAGTTAACTACAAACTGTATTTATGGCAAACTGTGTGTGTGTGGGTGAGGGACATGACTGAGAAGAACTAAGTGTCGATATATCGGAAATACTCATTTCAGATAAGCTGCAACATTTTGCAAAAATAGTATTTAATTCAAATATTCCTTCTCCTTCCTTTTTTTTTTTTTCCCCTGCCACAGATGTACTCAGCTGTTTTCAGACAGCACTTGACAATGAGCATTGGGTCTCAGGGTTGACTATCAGTGCCTGGTGCTAGAGGGGACATTTCAGCTTAACACAGGCTTTAAGGACACCAAGACACATACACAAGGTTTAAACCTCACACTCTTATACAGTCTGACTTTACATGACCAAAGAACTACCTACTTAATTTCATAACTCAGAACAACATTCACACTTAAGAGGCTGTGACTTAAGTCATTGAAAATAGGATATTTCAAAGAACTCCTGATAGTGACATTGCCAACCATGCAACTATCACTATGCATGAGCCTTCTTCAGATTAAAAAAAAAAACACCCTAGAGCTTATATTTGCATGGAAACAAAGTCAGATCATAATTAAAAGTAGCAAATGACAGTTGTACAGCACACATGCAGTGAGTCCAGCTGTTACTCTGTTTCCCATGCAGAAACTAACAATAAACTTTTGAATCCTTTCAAGTGACCACAAACATTTAGTGCTTTTTGTTTCCATGGGATTGCTTCCATTTGCTTTTCAAAGAAGTGCTGACCATTTAACAGACCTCCGAACAGCAAACCAAGTGTTTACAAAACACCCAGTTTCCTGGCAAAGCCCAGCCCTCGCTGGTCCAAGTCTGAGCTGAGCACACGCAAGCTGGGAGCAGATAATGGTCCAGCCTAGAACAATGGTGAAGGAGGCAGCTCAGACAAGATGGACTGCATGGATTACATAGTATATTATGAAATTGTAAAAGCATATGTGGTAAAACACTTAAACAAGGAATTGTTTCCTTTTTAGGCTTAGCCGTTAGAGCATGAACATTTCAGACAGACAGACTGAACAGGACACTAAGAAATTTGGGTCAGTGGGCAGCTTTCCTTGCATTCTACTTCGGCTAACATCTGTTTGCATGTGCATCCAGTGAATGCTAATTTATCCCACAGGGCCCTCTCCTTCTCCCCAAACATTAATTATGAAAGCAGGTTAACAGCACTTCCCGCAGCACTTCCCCAAGCATGAAGTGTTTCCTACACACAGCCCTGCCAGCCACATATCCATCACTGCAGCAGAACTGCAACAGGCCATTTCTCTCCTTCGCTTGCCCGTTTGCCCAAGACAGCATCCGAATATATTGCTCTCCACTAGACAAGAATAGCAGGGGAGAGACTAAAGAGACAGAGATCCTAGCAGTCCCAAATAACTTCTCCCTGGAGACACAATCCTTCCTACACAGTCAGCAGTGATGATAAACCCAGTGATAATTTTTTTTTTTCAAGTTGGAAAGAAAGATGGTGGAAGAAAGTGACTCTACAAATGCCTCTAAAGCCAAATCCAGCGTAACAAGCCATCCGTCCAAGTACTAAGCCTTTAAACACAACTTGGCTTCCTAAGCCAGTATTTAAAAAGGTCTTTAGCGTGTTTACCATTTATTAGAAGTGCTTCAACAATCCCCTAAAAGCTTTATGCCTCCCCCGAAGAAACATTAATCTCTTTCTGGCTGTATGGATAGATGGAGCAGAAGGGATAACAAGAAACTGAAGACACAAAAAAACCCTAATATGTAAAAGGGCCCAGATCTTTCACTTTCTACCTCATGTCTTAGTCACTAAAGAGAAACATCACTACCTGAATTTCTACAATCAAAGTTTTGGACCACATGAAAGGACTTTCCCTTTTGTATAATAAAGATGATAAAGAGTAGTCAGAATAGCAGTGAAACAAAACAGCAGCAGTCTGAAATGCTTTGTCAGGTATTTACAGTGTCAGTTTTACATTCCTCACTCTGGAAGTAAACTAGAGCTCAAAAGAAAACGTTGAGCGCATTTAAGACCATGCACATCAGAGGCACAGCCAGCTTGCAAGATCTGGGAGAGCAAGTAACAGCCACATTAATTTTTCATCTTACATCACTTCAACATAAGTAAGAAATTATTAATATCCTGCTTGAAAACATGAATAGTTTTATAAATGCCAAGAAGGCATGTTCTCTCTGAAGCAATACTAAAAGTTGCCCATCTCAATAGATGGCAATGATTGATATTTTTGGCAAGAGATTTATTTAGAAGGAAATATGAAGACCATTAACAGTCTACTTTTCAAAAAGGAAAAGATCAGCATATTGTTGAGACTCTAAAAATAATTTAGGCTGTTCTTGCCCCAGTAGCTTGCAGATACTCAGATGGTGTTGTGCATCCCAAAGAGGGGCAAGAAGTTGCTGACAAGAAGCAGGACCTTGCTTAGCTTAAGCCTTTCTTGGGGAGAACCACACAGGCCACTATGTGGCCTCACAAAGGCTTTTCCTGGGCTACCAGAGGGGTTACTACAAAGTGAACACAGATGCTATTTATCGTCCTGGATATTGGACTTGTTCTAGAAAGACAGTCGTCTTAAAGACACCCCTGCACTATTCCCCTCCAGTTAGAACTGCACTACTACTTACATTGTACACGGAGCACTACCACCAAATACCATTTTTAGGGATTGTTAAGGTCCATTCATGTTAATGGCAGAAGCAATAGGTAGGGTGGTAAGAAGTACTGATAATTACTAGCTACATAATGAACTTCCTAGGGCTCAACACGCGTAAAAGAAGAAACCCAAACCTATCAGTAAGGCACTCCTGGATGCAGTAGGGGCTGGGGAAGGAGATGGGACTGCAGTGATGCACAGAGGGCTGGGGAAGAGAGGCGAGCAAAGAGGCAAGTCTCATCTGAACTCAGCATCCACCCATCCGGCACGTCTGCCATCCAGGTGTCCCTACACATGTGAAACGAAAGCACTGCTCAAAACCTCTTCCATAGCCAAGTGTTCTTTATTGGACTATTTAATACCTCAAAGTGACCTAAAAAACAGTAGCAGACAAGCAGTAGGCAGTTTCTGTTCCATCGATAGGATCTAGCAGCATATAATGTGTTTTCCTTTCACAGGTAGAGTACTCCGGGATCCTGAAGGTAGCTCATACTGTCTGACCTACTAATCTTAGCTCCTGGCAAACTACACAGTGTTATTTTTCAGAAGGAAAGATTTATTTCTCCAGTCCTTGCAGACTGTCTTATAAGTTGAATTATGAAAGTTTGTTTCCCTT